GAACTGACCTGTCTTGTGCCAAAGTAACCTCTATCCACATCTACAGTGTATTTAACCATTTCCAACATTGCTTGCATAACTCATCCCTTAAAAGTATAGCATGAAACCAGACATAAGGCTCACCGGTTGATCTATTCCTGGGTCATATGCCTTCTTGCGTGACATGACGTACTGAATTACAGTCAAGATACTCAACCTAAGAGAACAAAGTGCAATGCAATCAGTTACCAACTTAGCCCCAATAAATAGTTATCCGGTAGCATTACTGTAACAGCCACGCTTGTATAACCATACCATTAGGGTACACCTTCCAAACAATAAGTTTACTTGTGGCATACACGAACTTAATGATCTTGCTCAGAAATAGTTTGGTTGACTGTAAATGTATATTGCAGTTGGGTATATCTCCTCTACCTTTTCATAGGGGCGGTGGGGTAGCCTAGTGGTTAAAGCGTTCGCTCGTCACGCCGAAGACCCGAGTTCGCTTCCCCAATTGGGCACAGTGAGTTAAGCCCATTTCTGGTGTCCCCCGCCGTGATATTGCTGGAATATTGCTAAAGGCGGCGTAAAAGCCAACTCACTCACTCACTCACTACCTTTTAAAGGTCAGAAACACAGACATACATTCACACAGACAGACAGACTGTGAACTTAACTATTCACAATATTTCTCTTTGAGAAAACTGGATTTGTCAAATTGGTCATATCTGTTCCTGATAAATGTGATTGTTTTGTTCCAGCGCAGACGCTATTGATCTCTGGGGAAAATACAATAGTGTGAGGAAACGTTTACCTTTATGCCATCTAAAGTAGAACCGCAACTAATGAATGCATGGGTTTTTTCATAAAACAGAAAGTCAGTTCAACTGTTAAAGAAACATTTTGAAGCATTAATAGGTTAGACTACCATTAGGGTCACTGATATGGCATTACATTCCGCGGTCTAAAGTCTTTCAAACTGTAGTTTTCACATTAAGATACTAGATACTAAATATATATTTGCATAATGTACAGAACTGTCACGATATTGTGTGTAAGGTCCCAAGGAAAATTATGCTCCTGTTAAGAGACAACGACATAATCGATCTGGGCCCTTATTCTCGAAACGTTCGTAGCCCTAAGAATTCGTAACTGTGATCGTAGCCAATGTGTAAAGAATGGGCCTCAAGAAGTTCGTAGGGCTACAAACGTTTCGAGAATAGCTAGCCTGGTGATTAAGGTGGGTGAAGGTGCCATCGAACTCCGAGCCGCAGATCGCTGCTCATGATAGCAATCATGTTACCAATTTGCAGTGTATGAAATAAGCTAAAAACCCAGCCAGACATCAAAATGGATTTAACCAGGCCAGACACCAAGATATGATGAATTTACACAGATGTATGGAACATCTAAAATTTTATCAGACCATCGGGATGGCAAGCTATTAGTGCAGGCCGTCCGACAGAAATCTAACCCGTTTCGGGTGGTCGGACGGGCCTTATGTCATACACTGCAATTTGAAAAGATTCTACAGTCGAGTTACTGAGTGGGCGAGTGAGAGTGGGTTTACCCCGCCTCAACAATATTCCAACAATATCACGGCGGAGGACACCAGAAAAGGGCTTAAGACATTGTACCCGTGTGGGGAATCGAACCCGGGTCTTCTAAGATCCGGGGTAGAATAGGTCTTCATCAACCCATGCTTGCCACAAAAGGCGACTATGCTTGTCGTAAGAGGCGACTAACGGGATCGGGTGGTCAGGCTCGCTGACTTGGTTGACACATGTCATCGGTTCCCAATTGCGCAGATCGATGCTCATGCTGTCGATCACTGGATTGTCTGGTCCAGACGCGATTATTTACAGACCGCCGCCATATAGCTGGAATATTGCTAAGTGCGGCGTAAAACTCAACTCACTCACTCACTCCTTTAAACTATCTCTATGTATACATATATATATATATATATATATATATATGTATGTGTGTGTGTGTGTGTGTGTGTGTGTGTGTGTGTGTGTGTATTTCAGTCCTTTGATCAGTGAAGTCCAGCTCATGTTACATATTTAAGTATATTTGGTTGCCAAGTTAGTGGAGGAAGCATTCGTCCTCATGACAATCACACAACCATCAATTTCCACAGCAACAAGCAGAGCTTCCAGTTTCTGGTGTCATTACCGCCTGATCAAATGCCATGTGTACTGATTAATTCAATGATTCAATTCAATTAACTCAGCGTTTTTTGCCTTCTTCGTGTAACATTGTACAACTAATACAGATAATTGAAACCGTGTTTTTTCATTCTTGGAAAATCAATCATGTCGACATTTCGCTGCCAAGAGTGTAAATGTTCATTTGTTCCTAACCATACACAAATTCAATCATGTTTATACATTCCCCGTGGCGCTTTCATTTGGTTTTACAACAATTATAGTTTTGTGTTTCAATACTCCCTATAGCGGCATGAATAGAAGATAATCCTTAGGAAGCATGACAAAGTGCAAAATTAACAAAGGCTTTTCTGTAATTTTGAGTGGTCTTGCTTTTGAAATTATTGCTAGTTTGGACGAAGTGATTAAATACAATTGTTCACACCAAATCTAATAATTGGAATCTGCTCCGTACCACGGCAGATACCTATATTTATATAACGCAATTTCATTTATGTGAGAACAAAATATATTACTTAAAAAGGAAAGTGACTGTTTTTGTTAGGCCGCACACAGCAATATTCAAGCGGGCTGTAACTAATGGAGTCTGGACTAGATAATTTAGTGATCAACAGCATGAGCATCTATCTATGTAATTAGAATCTTTACTGGTGGAAAGTGGCCGGAGTTACATGAAACTACTGAAGAACAAGTGATCGTGAGAAAGTCGCAGACATATACTCAGATTCGTCAGTGTTGATGATACTCCCGTGCTCTGAATCTAACGTTTACAAGAAGTCAGTTTGACCATTTCATTAAATTTGATCAGTGATTATGCAGTGTTATGTTAATAGATTTGAAAAATTACATGTCTAGACACTGTGAATCTAAACGTCAGCGCAAAACATTACTCAGATTTGAGCATCGTATAAAATAGATTCCACTTGTTGTAAAGAGCAAAATAGCTGGGTAAATCAAATGAATGGGCCCCTAAAGATCAGTGATAGCATCAACTTTTCGCCAAAAGGGTAAGCATGTCCCGCCGTTTCATTCACAAAATTGTCTTAACACTGTAAATACAAAACCTAAATGCAAAAGATTTCCTAGATTTGACCATCCTCAGGAATAGATTCCAATTGTTGTAAAGGGCAAAACAGCTGTGAAAATTAAATGAATGGATCACTGAAAATCAGTGATGACACGAGCTGTTTGCCAAAAGGGTAAGCATGTCCCACCGTACCATTCACACAATTGGCCTAAAATGTAAGTATTTACAGTCCGACGCCACACAGCAATACTACTGCCATACAACGCTCTGTAAAGAAACTAGACAATCAAGTGATGGATGAAAGTCCTTCTTTTATTTTGTGCTTAGGACTATTGTGTTAAAATTGGAATACGCTGCTGCTTACAAGTAAAGATAAACGTTCTTTCTTTCTTATTAATGTGTACCTTGTTCTAGTCACGATGTGGCTGAAATATTGCCGATGTGACTCTAAACTCACTCACTCCAACTTTATAGAGAACATTAATCATTTTCAGTAATATTACCACAGCACTTTCACAAGGCCCAACAACTGCTGCTCTCAACGAAGCGTTGAACGGACCCAAGGCAAAACATCTTCTTATTCAATCTGTGGTCTGGAGAAGTGTAAAAACGGTACCCTACAGGACTATCCTGGGATACACTGGCGCGCTGTTATATACGGATATTATATTTGTGAATAATTCATCATTCGGCATAATCTTCGGCTGACAGGGGGATGGCATTTGCTGTTATTACACTTAGATGAAAAAATGGGTAAACACGATCAAAGTGTTTTAACAGCTTTATGCTCAATATCACTTTTTTGGTCAGAGTTTATGAGATTATGGATATGAATAATGAATGTTAATATCGCTTTGTCAGAATGAATCGTTTTATACAGATGTGCCGAGCTATATAGGTGGGAGATTATATTGTTTTTCAGTTTCTTAATACCCATCGGCTGCAGTGTGTCACGTAACCGAGTAACTCACCATTACCTCAGTCCGCCTTTGCAACAGATACAATGTACATGAACACATCGTTTCCTACCCAATAGCAAGATATCCGTCCTGTGTAATAACTCTTGCCTAATAACTGAAGAGGCATCGTGATGATATAATCAACAACAGCCTTTGTAAAAATGTTACAGCTATTTCTGTTTGCTTAAATAGAATATTTTGTAAATTGTTCAGAAAATATAAACTTTCATAACAGTATACATGAAACCCGTGCATATCCGGGTCAGAATTGATCTTCAGCAACCCATGCTTGCCGGAAGAGGCGACTTACGGGTCAGACTTAGTTGACACATATCATCGTATCCCAATTTCGTAGATCGATGTTCATGTTGTTGATCACTGGATTGTCTGGCCCAGACTCGATTATTTACAGACCGCCGCCATATTGCTGAGTGTGGCGCAAAACTAACCTCACTCACTCACTCACTATCCCACTCATATGTTTTAGTATAGCAACATAGTTAAGCTTTGCGTAACTTAGCAGCTGCAACATGTCATTGTGATGACCCAGTGTATTGCGATCGAACACTCATGGACGCAACGATACGTCTTAATGTCAAGGGTTAATTGTCAGGGTTTGTAGTTATTTCAAAGTACTGCTTACGTGCTGTGACTTGATGCCATCCGCCTACACAGCTGTATCAAAGCGAATTTCATGTGATAGGTATCGTATATACATATCCCTCGAGCTACCTCCAAGCTGTCATGCTGACACTGGTCATCGTCAAGGATTGTCCATAAACCCAACAGGTTAGCTTTACACGATTGATTACATATCACCATCCTTCCTTAGGGGTCACGTGAGAGAGAGACGCGCATGCGCACTAGTCAGTAGCGAATGTGTTCCTAGTTGTCTTGACAAGTTTTTATAGAAGATTCTTCCAACATCGGATTATTTTCACAAACGGATATATATAGTGTGTTTGACGTCGTCTCTACATTGTTCACGGATTTCGGATGTGTATCCCAGCGTCACGGATATAGCGGTGCTGGAACTTTCCCGTACGAAGGACAAAAATCCTAGTGGTACTGACAATACTTGGAGCTGACCAATATGGCGTCAGAGCAATGTCCCCTCGCAGAGGGAACAAGTCGGGAGAGAGAGAGCAGCAGCACCTCTCCCAATGACGATGCTCTAGCAAAAGTCCTTGCTGCGCAGCAGCAACAGGCAGAGTCCATAAAATTTTTGACGGAAACAATCATTCAAATTGGGGCGAAAAGAAAACAGGTTTCTTCCCCTGTCATAGAGGTCAGCGATCAACAAGCTGGGCCGAGTGGTCTTGGAAAGGGCGGGTCACTGAAGCGTAAAGCCAGTGGCGAGTGCGACTCGCAGAAGCGATGCCGACTTACTGCTGATAGTGATATGTCAGACGCAGAGGACAATGATCCTTTTGATGACATAGTTGACACTTTACAAAGTGATCATGAAGCAGAAAGTGAGAATGAAGTTGACGCAGTCATCTTCGAATTAAATGCTTATTTCAACAATGATGACAAATTTGGTCCTAAAGTGAACGAGGTTCTGGGAAGGACTATAAATGAAGGGCTGAGATCGCAGCTGAATCTCGAAGCACTGAATCAGACGAAGGATAAGTATCAGAAGCCAGAAAACTGCCCTAATCTGACTGTTCCGAGAGTGAACAATCAAGTGTGGAATCAGGTCAAACCACAAACCAGATCCATAGATTCCAAGCTACAAAATGTTCAAAGCCTCTTGGCTAAGGCTTTTTGTCCTATTCTGGAGCTTACTGATGAAGTTATGAATGCTTCTAGAGATAAGAAGCAACAGATCAATTTAAAAACTTTGGCGAAGAAGTCTTGCGATTCTCTACGCCTCTTGTCAGCTGTGTTCGTAGAACTCACAAATCACAGGAAGGACACATTCAAGCCGGAGCTCAAAGGAGCTTACAAACAGCTGTGTGCACATAACAATCCTGTCACTGACCAGCTTTTCGGCGATGATCTTGCAAAACAAATAAAGGACATTTCTGAAGCTCAAACCCTCTCTGCCAAATTAAGCGGTGGCGGAGACAGGCCAGGTCAGTTACCATGGAAACAAACCCGAGGTGGAAAGCCCAGTTACGTAAGACGTGACACTCACCAGCATCAGGGCCGGAACGACCGAGATCGGCGTTTTTTAGGTCAGAACCGCCGGAACAACTTCAAAAGGAGAGGCGGCTACCAACAACAGAAAAAGCAGTAGAGTGCACTCTATCTGCCCCAACTAAAGAGGTGAGAGATCTCTGTGACACCTTAACGCATACACCGGATAATTTTAAAGCTGGTAATACAGCTTCCTGTTGTTATCAGTGGCAAAAACTAACGTCTGATACATTTATTTTGGATACTGTCAGTGATGGCTATATAATTGAATTTGACCAGCTACCTTCACAAGATCAATCCCCAAGGCCGATTCAATTTAGTGAAAATGAACACGTGGCTATTACCCAACAGGTTGTCCATATGACCATGACAGGTGTTATTCAACATGCAGAACCGTGTGCAGGTCAATTTATCTCAAACATTTTCAGCAGAGATAAAAAAGGATGGAAGTATCCGTATTATTCTGGACCTAACAGTGCTAAATAAGAAAGTGGACAAAGTGAAATTTAAAATGGACACTATAAAAACAGCCATAAATTTAATGAAGCCAGATTGTTTCTTTGCTAGCGTGGATCTAAAAGACGCATATTACACGATCCCAGTGCACAAAGATTACAGGAAATTCATGAGGTTTTATTGGGACGGGCAGCTTTTTCAATTTACATGCTTGGCTAATGGGTTAACTTCTGCCCCAAGAATATTTACCAAAGTGTTGAAAGTTCCATTCGGAGAATTGCACAAACAAGGCCACACGATATCAGGATATATTGATGATAGCATTCTTGAAGGGGATACTTATTCTTTGTGTCAAGCAAATATCACAGCTACAATTCAACTTTTTGACTCCCTTGGTTTTACTATACATCCTCGCAAGTCAAGCCTTGTTCCAACGCAGGTTATAACGTACCTCGGATATGTTCTGAATTCTCGAGATATGACAGTTAGTTTGACTGAGGAAAAAACGGGGAAAATCAAAAAAATGCTGTGTGGAATTGACTAAAAAGAACACTGTCTCTATTAGAGAACTGGCCTCCTTGATTGGTAAATTCGTTGCCTCGGAACCAGGTATGAAGTTTGCTGTGCTGCATTATAAACGGTTGGAGATAGAAAAGAACACGTTATTGTCGCTGAACAAGGGCAATTTTAATGCAATTGTGCAGGTTCCTGCCGTCTTTTCTATCTGAACTCAGCTGGTGGATACAAAACTTAGGTAACATGCCTAAACCCGTGTACACTCCCGACCCAGATGTCGTGCTCACATCAGACGCTTCCCTGACAGGCTGGGGTGGTGCCTGGGGAGCCCAGTCCACGGGAGGAGGATGGTCAGCGCTGGAGAAAAAGTCACACATTAATTGCCTTGAGATTCGGGCCGCCAAGCTGACTATCCAGTCTTATTGTGCCTCATTAAGAGATGCACACGTAAGGGTGTTAATCGACAACACTACCGCCGTAGCCTATATCAATAAACAAGGGGGCAACAAACTGGACTGTTATTTGCAGGTCAGGTCACTTTGGGATTGGTGTATTGAGAGAAACATTTGGGTTTCTGCTGCATATCTCCCGGGAGCTGAAAATACTGTCGCTGATCGCGAGTCACGTGATACTAATTGGCAAGATAAAGAATGGTCACTTGCTGATGATGTGTTTATTGAGATTAGAAAGAAGTTCCCAGATATACAACGTGATTTGTGTGCTTCTCGACTTAATCATAAACTTCATAACTATGTTTCATGGCGCCCTGACCCCGGTGCCTCAGCAGTAGATTGTTTTACTGTTAACTGGAGTTCTCACAACAATTATTGTTTCCCTCCTTTCAGCATCATCCCACTGGTTCTGAAAAAGATCGAGCAGGACAAAGCAGATGTGACACTCATAGCTCCGATGTGGCCAACACAAGTGTGGTTTACCAAGTTACTGAGACTAACAGTAGACTATCCTCTGATTCTACCTGTGAGGAATCGACTGCTACATCTACCGACAGAACCAACCTTGCTGCATCCGTTGAGGAGGAAATTGAAACTAACTCTTTTCAGATTATCAGGGAATGCTACAAAACAAGAAACCTTTCAGAGACAGTTACAAATGTTTTGCTTGCATCATGGAGAGACAACACCAAAAAACAATATCGGAGTTATCACAAAAGGTGGTTGTCGTTTTGTGTCAGGGGGAATGTTGATCCCCTTCTACCATCTTTGAACCAAGTTCTGGAATTCCTTGGAGAACTGTACCACAGTGGATTAGGTTATAGTGCCCTGAACACAGCCAGATCGGCTCTCTCTGCCATCATAACTGTTGAAAATATGCCAGTAGGGAATCACTCTCTAGTTAAGAGATTCATGAAAGGGGTGTTTCAATTACGCCCAGCCCTCCCTAAATATTCTGTTACGTGGGATGTTAGTAAAGTACTCACCTCACTAGCGGAATATGGAAATACTGATACTTTATCTCTTAAAAAGCTTACTTTCAAATTCGCAGTTTTATTATGTTTGCTTTCTGGCCAGAGAATCCAATCTGTCCATTTGTTACATGTAGACAATGTAGAATTTAGAGATCAACATCTTGTTATTAGAATAGGAGATCTTGTAAAACAATCAAGAAGAGGTTTTCATGTTGGGGAACTAGTTTTCTCAGCCTACCCACATGATGACAGACTGTGCATTGTGACAACAGCCCGTGCATATTTAAATTGTACCAGAACGCTTAGAGGAAATGAGAACAAACTGTTCCTAGGACTGCAGAGACCCCACAAACCAGTGACTAAAGACACTATTAGTAGGTGGGTGAAACTGACACTTGCTGGAGCCGGTGTGGATGTGGGTATTTTCAAACCGCACAGTGTACGTGCTGCAGTGAGCAGCTCAGCGTGCAGATCAAAGGTGCCGCTCCATACGATTCTCCGCACAGCGGGATGGACTCAGGAGTCGACATTCCGGAGACATTACGATCTCCCGCTAACCGTAGACACAAGAGTGTGTGATTCTGTGTTAGCAGCAGTTAAACGCTAACTGTTTTATATCATCATTTACGCATTGTACCTTTTTATTCTATAAGTTTCTATAAACCAATTCTCAAATCATCCATATTGTTTGATATTCTGTCTTATTCGTGGAATGAAAAATGTTTCCTCTTCTCTGAAGCTCTCACGTGACCCCTAAGGAAGGATGGTGATATGGAATTATACAATTAAACGAGACTTACCTGTAAGGTGAAGTTTGAGTGTAATTCCATGAACCATCTTCCTGACTTAGGGGTTACGTGCCCACCCTCCCTTACCCTCGAACAATTGGTAAGATGAAACATTTTTGCTCAAGACTGACTAGTGCGCATGCGCGTCTCTCTCTCACGTAACCCCTAAGTCAGGAAGATGGTTCATGGAATTACACTCAAACTTCACCTTACAGGTAAGTCTCGTTTAATTGTATAATTATCCAACAATATTAACAATACAGTTAACAAGGTTAGTTGTCAAGAAATAACATTAAAGTTCAATACATCTTGTGCGAATAAACCATAACATAACCATCACTGTCAAGCACTGAAATTTCAATACGTAAACAAAACAATTACAACTGCTTTTTATAAGATTACAATTTTCCACAGTTTGACTGTCAGATTAAGACAACCATTATGTTTGCTTCCATCGCTTAAAGCAAACTTGATCAAATTAATTAATAGGATCAATATGTTGACGGAATGGTTATCAAAAGTCGGTGATTCATGGATAAGGTTTGACATATTTGGTTTTTCATGCATTTCCCTCAAATGTTTCTCACAGTAAAATGACACTTTTCTTTATTCTAAACTAAAATAACTGCCTGGACGATTAACATTTACATACATGTGTAGCAACTTCAACTGTAAAATTGTCGCAAAAGGAATATAAATGTACAAGTAACCCTTCATTTAGCCCAGTGCAGCAAATCACTAAATTCGTAAAGCTGACATGAACAATTACTGTGATTACCAGTCCTGGACTCCCCTTTATCCATATCTGACGAAGATCCATTACAAGTAATATGAGTCAGTGAATTATTATTTAACGTCACATCGGCAATATTGCAGCCATATCGTGACGAGAACATATTTGACATTGAAATGGAATATATGTATATGATCAAAACCTGTCGACGAAGGACAGTAAAACAACTAGAGTATCACAAATAGAATTAAAACTAGCGTGTAAAGTTAAAACTAATAGCACTATTGGGACAATGCAATATAAAAAAAGGCTATAGAACGCAAACAAGAGAAGGTAGATCACCATACTAGGGACCATGGGGACTTACAGTACCTTGGCTACCTGCATGGACCCTAGTTGGATTACAAGTAATATGAACTATACGTTTGATATCTATCAATATTCTTGACACAGTATTATGCCATAAACCGATCAATTCCCTCTTAGTAGATCGTGACCTGGCGTCTTTCCTCGGTCAAGGCAGTGCAGCATGTCACGCAATCCAATGTCGAGTGACCGAATTGTTTCGAGCAGAGCGTAAATCATCAGTGCCTTTGATTGCATCAGTCTGATCAGTTAAAGGACAATCTCCCAAAATCGACATGTCAAGATAATCTCCTAAGAATCTTATATTGTGTTTCTTGTCGGTCTTAATGCCAAAGCCTGCGTGATGGCCTGTCCCTCTGGCCGTTCGTCTAGTACTGTGCTGGTGGGTCTTGATCACCTCAGTCTGATGTAATTCGCATTCGTCATCATATTAAACAATCTCACAATTTCGCGTACTCTCATGCATCTCTTGCTCAAAAACGTTTTTTATCAGGGTAACAGCTTTCAAGGCCTCAGCAAAGCCGTTTTATGGTGTACATTTGTCCAAATGTTAGATTCAATACGCTATTTGATTTTGTACATTAAGTTCCTTGTTTTTGCAGGTATCAGATTACTTGCCTTTGCGTGTGTTTGTGACTGCTGCCAGCAGTGGGGCGGGTAACGCTCACCTTATTGTGAACACTTGGGGTCACCATTCTCTGATAATGATTTATTTGCGCATGCTTATGATCGTTCAATAAATCGTCAGAATCGTTCAATAAACTATGCTTTTTGCTTACATTTCTTATCAATATGGAAATGGTTTTGTTGCTTTTATATACATCGATCTTCCAACTGCCTGCACTTAATGGACACTCACCCATCAAACTATCTTACAGTAACATAACTTAGAAATGCAATTTTCAATACCAGCTTCAGTTTGATTTAGTAATGCAATGATCTGCATCAGCTTTTTATCATCGTTGTTTCTTCATAGGAAAACTGATAGAGATAATTGAAAGTGTTTTTTATGTCTTCATTCTCAGTAAAGCAATATTACTGACATCCCGAAGTACTGAGCTCGAGGTCACAATGACATGTATCAACCATGTGGATAAACTTAACGATCATGGTGAGTTGGTGAAGACGAAGAATT